ACTGAAGCAAGTACGAAAAAATCAGACTAATTCTTAGGTGGGCAAAGAAAAAAACCTGGCAATCAAGTAATAGCTATAAGTGTCAGGAGAGGTAAGTATTATTGAAAATATATTTTAAATTTAGATAAATGTTAACATTCCTTGAGAATGTGCAAATGTAATATTTCAACCCCTGGTTATATTCTTTTTCTTGTTCCCTACTTCTTAATCCTAACCCTAACTTATTTCTTTTCCCATTCTTGGACCACTTACTTTTCTGCAACATTAAGCCTTGCCCTTCCCATCTATTTCATTCTTATTTCCTTGATTTTAGTCTTTCTCTTAAATTTGTGATTGCCCTTACCTGTGGGGGAGGACTATTGACAGTTGTTTCACTCTCCAGTACCCACTACTCCTGTCTTTACTTGATCCTTCTTTATCTCTTCTCTCTACACCTTCAGTCTGAGGCATTCCACACTGCCCCTGTGAAATTTGCAAGTGATTCATGTTCCCTTCACTCCTCCACTGGGTTCATTATATTTCTACCATTCCCTTCTTACTCACTTCCTTGTTCCTAGAGGTTGTTGGATTAGGATACTCTCCTATCATAATTTCAACTACTTTCTTCTAATTGCCTAGCCCCTTTCTTAGCACTGACGTTTTGTAGTATTCCTGATTTGATTAGATCACGAGCTAAGGTTGCCTGTCATCAATCCTCACTTTCATTCATTGTTTCCACACTATCCCCAATTCTACCTCATCTTAGTCCCTGGTTTCCTGTCGTTTGATTCCCAACTTCCTCTTCTACCCGATGTCTGATACACTGAGCTCATCTGTAATGTTTCTGTTGTATTGGGTCCTGTGTGTCCAACTGTCATAGTTTTAGCTTTTGTTTTTTTATTTTTTATTTTTCTATCCACGTTGGGTTGTTTTTTTTTTACTTTTTTACCCACAGACATTCTCTCCCACTCCCTTCTCCTTTCTGCCTTCATCTTGTTTCCTTTCTCCTTCTGCTCCTGTCTATGCCCAACGTTTCTTTGAGACTGTGTTTGTCATAAATTCCTCACTCCCACTCAACATCTTATTCACCATGGGATGTGTTTTTCAGCTCATTCTCTGTTGGGATCAGTCTTCTCCCATCTGTCTGTGAGCTATGGACCTTGCAGTCACTAGGATTCATGCCTATCTTACTCATTCTATGTGTGAGGTTTAATGTTTGGTAACGATGGCTTTATGGGAATTGCTTATCCCATTATGTACCTCATATGTTGGTCCTTGTGTGACCAAAGGTACAGCTCACAGGATTCTTTGACCTCAATGGTTCTCTTGTTCCTTCCTCCATTCTAGTATTTGTATGGGTGGTTGAATTGATCCAATGTACTGGATACTATAAACCAGGCTAAGGTTCTGCAGAATGTCTCTTCTCCTGCAGTTTCCATTAAGGGTGCTATCTTGGGGATTTCACTCATCATTACCCATCCAACCCCTCTCTTTCATGCTTTTTCTATTTTGATCACCTGTTCAACATCTCTTGTCACTGAATTCCACCTGGTCTGGTCTTATACTTGTCCTATTGCTCACCCACCTTTCCAGCCTTAACCTTGGGTCCTCACCTTGACTAGAGATGCTCTTTATCATTTCCTCTTGGTGGTACCCTTCTGGCTGGTTTAACTTTCGTTCCCTCTTCTATGCCACCTGACAAACCAACCCCTGCCAATTATACACTATATTGCTTCAATATCTCCCATCTCCTTTTCATGACAGGATCTTGTCCTTCCACCTTCACGTTTGGATTAGTCTGGTCCGTCACCTGTTGAACTGGACTTTCCCAGCTTATAATTCTTTCATTTCTTATTCTGGGTATCACTCTACCTTGTCTTTTTCTCCAAAAGGAGGTGTGTGACTTTTGACGTTGGTCCATCCATCGCCACCTTCCTCCTAATCATTCTACTGTCAGACATCTCCTTTCCCTTTACTTGGCTATTTTACAGGGTTCAGATGTCTTTTCCGTTGCCAGTTATTGGTTGTACTTGTCTTCACCATTTTGTCTGCTAGATATTACAGTGTGTTTCCTCTCCTGTTCTCTCCATCTTGTTCTGGTCCTTCCTTATCCGTAGACACATTTGCCCTTATCCCATGCCTGACTGGGACCTCAGTGTCATCCTTCACAATCTTACCCATGCTGATTTGAGCCATTGGCAACCTGTAACTTCTACTGCCTTATCTTCAGAAATATTCGTCTTGCTTGTGATTGTTGTTGTGCAAATCGTTTTGCTAACAACTTTTCCCATGCCCTTTTCATTGTCCTCATTCTTCTTTCTCCTGACCAATCCTTCCTCCTTCATCTTCAACCACTCAGGGAGGAGACCTCTACCCTTCTCCTCTCTCTCGTTCTCTATTTCACTCTTCTATTCTTGTTTGGACCCAGACAAACTTTTCTACCCTGTTTATACCTCTCACTTTCGGGTGTTTTTGTCTTCCACTCTACATTACCTGGGATTTCCTTTTCTCCAGGGACAAATCTCCTTCTGCCTTTATTGGTATAGTCTGCCAAATTCTTTGTTTGATCTCCTCCTCATTTGAGATTGTTTCTTGCAGATAGTCTGCATTTCATCCCATTGGATTTATCACCTCTCTCATTCTTTCAATGCTCATTTCCAACAGCCACTAGACAAGACCACTCAGTCTGGCATGTGGACTAACTCTCATTACTTCATCACCCACTCTCTTCCTCATCTGGCTGCCTCATCTCCTGAGAGTCTTTGCCTGCCTCCATTCACTGTCCTACACTCTACCCACCCTCTTTAGAGAGGTGAGTACATTCCCCTTTGGTTTATAGCATTTGCTTCCAGAATCCCTCCAGGTGGCTAGTGATGTCTCCCAAGGTACACTTATTTTCCAAAATTCTGTATTGAGCCAGAATAATAGTAAGTACTCATACCATCTACCCTGGCTCCATATATGCCTACAATTGAGATGGGGTGTTCTGCAAAACCACTTGAGGTATTCTTGTGGTATATTCTGATATCTGTCTACTGTTCGATCCGAACTGTACCTATTCTATGGACTATAATGGAAAAAGCCAACACCAGCAGGTGTGAATTTGTGAATAAAGAGTATTTATGGGTTGATGAATAACTTTGCTGAAAAGGAAATAGGATTTTATAACTATGTGCACAAATATCTTTGTATGCCTGTACAGTATACTGCTAAATTCTAAACATCCCAGAAGGATGACCAATATTCAAACACTTGCGATGTTTATTGGATTGGTTCCAAACCATATACTGTAATAAACATTTTTACAGATTCAAAGTGCAATCTTATTACTTTTAGGAATACTCATTGTAAACAGTGTAGGATACATAGGCTGATAAATTCCACATTGTATTCTCGGAGGGGGGGTCACGTGCCTTGTTGCTCTCCAGAGGATCGTATTACGGTGTCACATAAACAGTGTAAGGATACAAGCAGTAATTTGTTGCTTTGTTCTTTATTATTTATATTCTTTACCAACGATGTAAAGAATAAGAGTAAGTTTGCTGTACACATATTTGTGCTAATGACTTATTATATGTGATGTACAAATTCATGGTAACTTTTTACATGTACATGTATTTTCATACCTATGAAATAGAAATGAATTTAAAAAATACATTACTTTGTCCCATTTATTTAATATTTTTATAGTACACACAAAAACACTGCTTACACACATGTAAAAAAATGACTTTAAATGCATATACCAAACATAATGGCGGGGGCCTTAAAATTCAGAAATTTAGTAGAGTCAATAAGGAATCCAGCTTTGCATGACTCATCTTTGATATCAAGGGCACCTTGCTCAAGAGGGCATTTTAATGCAGTCAGAAGGGTGCCCTTAATGACGAGGTTCTACTGTACTTACCTCTGAAATATCTTGTTTCCCTGCAACCAAATTTATTATCGTAAGTGCAAATTATGTCAAGAAAACAGAGCCTATGTAAGCTCTCCTGACACTTGTACAGTGAGTCACCTGGAAGATAGGATAAGAAAGTAAGTGATGCATGCTCTGTAATGAGTAAAGGACATTTGGAAATTTTTATAGTCACATGATTTGTTGACAGCATGAGTTCGAACTCAACAAAGAAAGGCTTTCTATATTTGAGAGGTAAATGTCTGTTTGAAATGCATTTTAATTCTAGAAATGTAAACATTGGTGGGATTATTGTTTGGCAGAAGTCAAACTTTCAGCATTTGTTTTATTCTTTAGAAAGTTCAATAATTAATTTCAGTTTTGTCAAATTTAACAATCTGTCATGCATGATGACTAGTCAGTCTCTTAAATATTAGGATATATTTGTGTTACCACATAAAGCATCATTAAATATGTAAATCTCTTTGTAAAAGTGAGTAGTTTATTAAACTTGCTTATATATATATATATAACTTCATAATATTAGCCTGATGATGATTATGGGAAACACAAAATTGCAAAAAATTAATCTTTGACACTTTTTTATGTCCATGAAAAACAGGTATGAAAAACTTGACTATGGATATTGCTCTACACTAGTTCTATGTTTTTTGTCCATTTTTGTTTATATATATATAGATAGTTACGGTCTGCTTAATTTATTAGGTACCGAAATGAGATTTTTCAAACAATGTTGCTATATATATGCAAACTATATTCCTAGAAAGATGGACAACATTGAATATGGAACTGTAGCACATTTTGTCTTTGATCCAGACATGTTATAGTACTGTGAAATAAACTTAAGTACATAGTAAATTGAACAAGCTAGAATATTTCTTAAATTACTAATCTTTTTCTTTAACTTGGCAACATCTTGCAATTACTTCTAAATTTTTCAGGTGTATTTTTCATAATATGTTTGTATTCATTTATTGTACCCAGTTACAAGATATTCTGGTGTCTTAAAATGTTTAAGAAGGTTTAATAATACTTTTAACAAACAATATTATAAAGTTCAAACTCCATAGTAGATTGTTTTAATAGCTATTTTTTCTCATGATAGCCACCAAAACACGAAGTTTACCTGTTCAGTTGAGTGTGGATTTAATAGAGAGAACGGCAAGAAGTGAAGGCCTACCTGGTGATATTTTAATTACATTAGTTGATATTATTGGAAGAAGGAAGTTGTGTAAGTACATGTTACATTTAAATGTGCATAATGCACAGTTCTGACATAAATTTTACTGTATGATATCAACCTGTATAACTAACCATTAGTAATGGCTGTTAAAAAACTGAAGACAGGATTAAATACAGTTGAATAGAATATACCAAATGTGAGAAATAAAAAAAATATTCAGGAATAAAAGATGCAGTAAATGTTAACTATAATACATGCTACTTTGACTGTGACATTAAAAAAGTTGAATATTTTTAGTAATTAGAAATGTTGACTTTACAATGGTTTGCCATTTATAACAAAACTGTGTTGATAGCATTTAATTCCAGATTAATCTAATTTTGATGACAATACATCATAAATGAGTGGCCATTGGTACATTGTATACTTACAGAAGATTTGTATGAAAATAAATCTTTATTAATAAAGTTAATCAGTGGTTGAAATAACCAGAACATCTTTAAAAACACTACATGTACACATAGATGAAATATCAATTACATGTATTTAAATATAATGTATGATATTCCTGTTTTGATCAATTTTAGCTGAAGCAGTATGTCGTCGATTGATCAGGAGTTTACTTCCATTCGATATAATACCTATTATTGCAGTCTTGAAAACTATTTCATGGATGGGTGTTGGAAACACGTCCATTGCACTCCAGGTAGGAATTTATTATATATAACGTATTTTGTTTATTTTCCAGTAAGGTTATGTATAAGTAGAATCATCAGTTATAAAAAAATAATAATAACTTATTAAACATAAAATATATCACTTCATTCATATGTGTATGTTTATAATATGTCATACTTTCCCTTGAAAACTAATTATGCTGTGATACCTCAACTTGTTCTCTACGATGGACACTTGTATTCCCCTTTTAGAGAACTGCTATGTGAGTTTGGAATTTTGTAATGCAGTGAATTATAGGATGTTCTCCTTCAAAGTTTCCAAAGGTTATCAATTTCAAGCTTCAAATAAGTGATTAAATATTAAAATGTGCATCTTTTGTTTCTTATCCTGTAGATAACAATAAACTTGACACTGTGAAAGTTGTTTATCTATAAACTTGGCAGTGAAAGAGTTAAAATTTAACTTTGTAAAATTTTAAGTATTATCTACTCAGGTGACAACTATGATACAAGGGACTCTGTAACCAGTAAAGTTACAGACCCATAAGTAACTTCATGAATAAATAAAAATTTGCTTAAAAACCCAGTAGAGTGGAACATAAATCTAGGTTTAACTGACCAAAGCCAACTTGAAGAAGCTTTCTGAGGCTTTTACTAATACATTTATGTTTGTTTAAAAAGAGTTTAAAGGAGCATGGTGTTCAATTAAGCATTACTAAAGTACTCTTGAGTTAACAATATCCTTGTATTTGACTTTGAACTACTGTCAGTCTCCGAAATAGATTTTGAAAATCTTCCCAGTTTCTTTTGTATAATGTGTTTTAGAAACAATCGTTTAATTTGATATTTCACAGCATACCAGTCAAAAAGAGATTTTCTTAAAAAATGTTGAGAAATCATATGATTTTCTTTTCTGGGTTTACCTGTTAATGACATGATGATTAATTCAAAAATTTACATACAGTTTTAAATTTTTTATTGTGAAGGCTTGCAAAAGTCAACCAAATCTGTTCTGTTTGTATACCACATATCTTGAAAAAATGAGAAATCATTTAGAATAACATCTCATGTAAACAAGTACACCAAGAAAAGAAAATATAAACCCTTGTATCGCTATGTTTCCTAAACAAATTGTCTCACCAAGCACAATTTTATAGTTTTTTTTATTCAAGTTTGAAGATATAGAGATATTGATTTGTATTTCAGCATAATAGAATGATTGCTTTTACTATCATTAATTCTGGTACAAAAAAAATATGTATTTTCAAGAAAATAACTACAGTATGGAAACCAAAAGGTCAAATAAAGGTGTTTGTGTTTTACAGGTTTTTCATAATGCATGAAAATGTTGATATACACAAGCTTTGTTGCCCTTAAAAAATGTAGTATGTATTGTTCATGTAACAGCATATTTTTTTGTAAACTTGAACAACATGCAACTTTTTGTTTTAAAACTAGATTAGTAGCTACCAATAAATTTTCACTATTAAAAGTGTTAAATATTAAGGGTTTAAATTGTTGCTGTTTAATTACTAGATAGTTTTAAGTTGGTAATAAAATTTAGCATTGGAGTTTCATCTATCATCCCTACTTTGTAAGCTATTTATGTTTGATGGAGAAACTTGTGTTTTAAATACTGCTTTCGTTAAACCCAATATATGGGTTAGATATGTGGATGTCATGTTTCTTGTGTGGCAGCATGGAAATGATATATTAGTGGATATTAAAATGTCTTCTTGATAAGTCTTTCAATTCAAATTCAACTCAGTTCAATTTATAAGATAAACAAGGGGGTTGTGTGAATTTTTTTAATATGTCTGTATAAAGGAAGAGCAACTTTGTTTATATATATGTATATATTATATACATCTAGAAAACTTTTGTGTAAAGAGATAAAGATATTTGTACACATTTCTTGTAGATTTCAATTACTGATCTTTGTCTTCCTTTTGAACTATCCAATATCTTTTACTTGATAATGATCATCCAATGTGTAAGCCATGTGACATTGACATGAATGATGACTGTCTTAATACTCTTTTGCTGCCACTTTGATAATTAGCAGTAGCAATGTTTCAGACATATTGATTTACATATATGCATAAAGACGGTGTAAGTTAATCATGTCTTTAAGATTATATGTTATTGTATTTTATGTAGTTTTCCATTTAACTTAACAATTTACCCTTGTTTTGTTGATTTTACTTGTTTTTTTTTTACCTTTTATGTAAATTGTGTTGGGTGCAAACAGCTTTAGCTGCCTTGCACCATAAAACCTCAAACTAAATCATTCTTCTTTGCTTTCACAAGTCCTAAAATAATATTCAAATTCATTAAGAATATTAATAAGCATAAATTATTTTTTAAGTTTACCCAGAATGTTATACAATAGTGAATTTGACCTAGGAATTGGTTTAATTGCAATGTAAGTTCTAATTTGCCAATACTTTTTCAGGCAGAGCTGATGAGGTGGATAGTTGCAGTGTATGATCACATAGACCAGAAAGAAGACCTACATTCCATTTATGGCATAATTTTTCATTATCTCGAATGTGATATTGTGGTAAGCATGAACTGTTTTCTAGAAGTAGAATATCTAAAGAATTGATTTCAGGTTTGTTTTGTGTTCTTATTTTAATCATATTCATGTATCCTTTGAAAATATATTTTTGTGCATAATTCTAATAACATTTATTGCACATGGTGGTGCAATCATTAGACACATAATTTGAAAGTATGTTGGATTAAAAAGTAGATATATCCAAGTTAAACCTATTTATAAAACATTTTTGAAAGGCAGACTTTCCTTCCTCAAGGCTATATTGGGAGTGGATGGAAAGGCTTAAAGTTTGCTAAAATATCTTCAGTGAAAGTTTGGAAGTGTTTATTATGGTTTTGAAAAGGAATATTCAAAATGTTACAATGATTTTGGGTGTAAGAAGCAAAGTGAACAGGAAAAAAGTAAGGAAGTATTCAAAATAGAAGTTAATGACAAAAAGGAAGTTATTTTTTATGTACTTCTATTTTTCCTTTTGGTTTTGAGGAAAGCCAAAGCTTCCATCCTCATAATGTAGTGTGGATTTGAGAGAGAGAGAGAGCTTTACAGTTAAGCTATATGGAGATTTAATGGGTTGAATTGGTTAGCATTTAAATGACTTTTTTGTTCACTTTTATCAGTATGGAACACTAAGCTCTAAAGTAAAATTCCTAAAAGTTTCTTCCGATCTTTTCACACCTATTTCCTATGTTTATTTACTGTTAGGAGCTGAAGCAGAAACCTGCCGAATATAAAGCAATGAATCGCAGCTCCTTAATTAGTTTGACAATGTCAATATCAAACAAGCTCATGCGCCACAATTCCTAGAACTTTTCCTGGTTTGAAAACACAATGGGATAAGATTTACCAACATGCTGACAGTATAATGGTATTAATGACATTTGTCTGAAGTATTATAAAATGTTTATGTTATGACTTTGTAGAAAGTCCGCAGGCCGATCCAGTAAGTCAGCAAGCAGATGTATCCTACAGAAACTATTCAAATTCCGGCTCCGAGAAAACAGTATAGTAGAATTTGCCAGCTTCTTTACAGTACAGTGGTTGTAACAGAAATTGTCTAAGTACTATATAAAAGTGAAAGAAAATATTTATGATATGGCTCTGTACAAAGTAGTATCCGACCCAATAAACTTAAGTATTTGGATGCTAGTTATCCTCCTTGGTGGTTGGAATTTAGTTTTGGTATAGGTGTAAATGTGTGTAAGTGCTTATGAAGATCGTGTTTCATATATTACCATGCTTACACAGTAACCAATGAATGTGTAGTTTCCAGTAATATAAATACAGGTCGTTTTGATTGGACTAGTATTTTTGACTTAGCCTTCTTAATTGTAACTTTAAATACAAATTATTTACCAGCAAACTGCAAGTTCAACCAGGTGTTTATGAAGTATTACCTACAAAGTAATAAACTTGGCTACCATACATTACATGTATTAATATATATATATATATTATTATTATTATTATTTTCAAACATGGAACAGTAAATAAAAAAAATATTTGGAAAACAATGATCTCTATTACTTACGATACTACAAAGTTCTTGTTTGCACTTGTGAGCCATACTTGCTAAGCCTTGTCAAAATTCACATGTGGAGATGAAAAAAATAATCATTTTAGTGGACTTTATATAAACATTTTGGGTTACAAAAAAAAATAAATAAATTATTATACTGATACCCCAAAAATCCATTGCAATTTATCAGGCTTCATAACTAAATTGTTTCTGGGTCTAAAAAAGTATAATTTCTGTTTACAAAATAGCCTTGATTATAATACTTTCCAATGATATAAGACCTTTCCTTTCATAGACAACTTAGGAAGAGTGACAGAATTATGTAAAAGAAATGTATAACTTTCGATTGGTTATAAAGTTATTGGTATATAAAAGTAGGCATAGATAAACAAGTCTTCTCAAATGATGAAGTGGTGGGTGGAGCCATTATGGTGGGTTCACTAAATATCATGATATTTCAGCAAATGGAAAAGGTAGTAGGTTCTTATTTTATATTCTAGCTTGACATTTGAGTTTCTAATTTGTACAAAACTATAGATGCTGTATTGTGGGCATCACAAAATGTAATCTGACCAAACCCAGAAGGCCACATACCACGTAAAACACAAAAACCATTATTTAGCCTTTTTTTTTTAACATTTACTTTCAAATAAAGAAACTAACTAACATATTATACTGAAATTTGAATTACAATCTACAGTTTGATGTCAAACTTATTGACATACATCTACAAAATAATAGTTAAATAAAGTGTTCAATGCAAGTCTACAAATGTGATGACACCTACCCGTCTCGATAGGGTTAATAGCTGTGAAAAACTGTTTTATTACAAATTACCTAGCAAGTATGTAAAAACCATGAAACAATTCAACTCAAGCTGTGGCCAGGCTTGAAATTAACAGTCACTAACTGGCAAAAAGCTAGTGGGTTCTAATTTTTAGCGAGTGACCGTCAGTGGACATTGTCATTTTTTGCCAATTGATAATAAAGCATTATATGAATATGCAAAAGAATTGTAAACTACTTTCAAAATTATGGAAGAAAAATCATTCTGCAAGTAAAACATTTATGGAAATAATTACAGTAGGATGATTGATCATTAAGCTTTTTCTGGTAGCTTGTTGTGCATCATTCTCATGCATCTTGAGGTTAAAATAACAAATAAAGCATAGTGCTTAAAAGGTGCTACAGTCTCTATAGATTTTTTTATTTTCATATTAGGAAATGTAATTATTACAAAGATTCATCTAAACTTTTGATATGTTACAAAATATGAAAATGAAACACTTCAAGAAATTCACTCGGCTGACTATTTCTTTTAAGGGCAGGAATTACTTTTTGCTAGCACTTTGCAAGTAATGGACTTTTTTTCTTTTTTTTTTTGAGGTTGCTTTGACTGTTGAGACACCATGTATGCTGATGCATCGTTGATGATTCTCGGGCAGATTTACTCTTCATGTAGCCATCCCTAATTTAACCGTGAAAGACTAGAGGGAAGACAGTTAGTTAACACAACTCACCACTGACTCTTAGACTACTCTCTTACCAATGAATAGTGAGATCGACCATCACATTATAGTCTCTCTCTCTCTC